GAAAATGATGGATAATAAAAAGCCCTTGGGATTTTCTGAGCTCAAATCATCCATAAAATGTTAAAATGAGGTTAGGTTTAGTTGTCTGTTCTCGGCTCGGCATGTCCAGAGCAACCTGCGTTGTGCCTTTTCGGAGTCCACGCCTTCAAAGATGCTTTATAATTTTGGCAAAAATTGATTTTTTTTAAGAATGGTTGCTTTACAGAGCATTTGGAAGGCAAGTACTTCCTAGTTTTTACTTTACTGGAACAAATATAGTGACGCAGAAAATGTTTTAAAATATTCCGCCAAAGTATGTCATCAAAATTAATAATTGTTCGTGCAGCCGTCGGTATTAGACAAAAGAAAGCAGAGAAAGTGTAAAGAAAGTGCTTGGCTTACCGGCAGATTATTGCGACGGTTAAGTTAGAATCCACTTTATTCTTTAAAGCGCGAACAGCATTTCTAATTAGTCTGCATCCTATTAGTGGTATTACGACAAAAAGTAAACCCAAATTAACACCTTTGTGTGAAAATGCGCCTGATAATTATCGATTATTTCTGGATCGCGCTGAATAGTCGCACATGTGTACTATGCTTATTAGTGACCACTCTGCTACAATCAGCGAAACAAAGATGCACATCGTATCGTTTAATACCTCAGAAAGGCAATGACTGGAAGCGCTTTTAAAAGACCAGACACGTGGAGATCAAAAAAATATTTCAGAACTATTTCAGGTCTACCTGAGAACCTTCAGTGACTGAATGTGGTTGAAAAAGCATGTGGTGTTTTTTTTACTTACGTCAAGAAGTGTTATATTTCACACGGTAAAATTGGCGATTTACCTGTTACGGTTAAGTCATTTGCAGTAATCAATTTTCAGTTTGCCCACTGTGGCAAGAAGGCGTTATGATCCCACTACCTGAATAGTAGTTACCGAAGTTTCATTACCAGCCGACACTTAATTTTACTTACTAGCTGAAAATAGTTTTTGTCATTTACCAACAGGAATTGAACAGTAAAAGTTTAAGGTTAGTGTTTATTGTTTTGGATAGATAACCCGGTTTCTTGATCTAGTAATTATTGAAATTATCTTTTCATCCAGACGGTTCTCAAGATCTCTGCACTACGATTCGCCTCCTTTCACATGCATCCAAGTGGCTAATTCGGGGCAAACAAGAGACTATTAAACAAGTAATCTCTTCTCTAAAGCAAATAAAAAAGAATATTTGTTCTTTTCGACAAGTATTGTTTGCTATCGCTATGTTTTTCTCTCCAAACCAAGTATATTTGAGCAACCTCGATGGAAACTTAAGTGCACATCAGAAACTAAAACAGGGCTTAATAGAAATGATATGATCTTGTTCCTCGACAGCTAGAAATAATTACACTATCATCCTTTTGTTCTGCTTGTGACATATAACTTACGTGAACAACACATCGTTCATGCAGTATCAACAAAAGCGTTTCCAAATATTCAGTGGCAAAGCTTAAATTTTCAGATACACAAAGTTACCAGGTCAAGGTATTCCATGAGATTTTAAACAGCCTAATTTCGTCCTAGGATTTTTTGTGCATTTTTTATCCGGAATGCACCAGCTTGCTATATTTTTCACGCAAATTTTCCCTGGTTTTCTTTATACGGTTACCCTAAATTTTTTTGGTAAGGAACGTAAAATTCCAATCTGAAGTATTTGGCTCAGATATGACTTGGATTCACACTCCATGTGTACGAAACACTAAACATTTAAACTGTTCCATATTGAACGAGGATGATCTGATTTATTACTTTTACCAACGCATCTGGGTGTCTAAGAATCGTAACACACACTTTCACCTACAAATTTTCCTACTTGCTTCATGTAGAAGCTGATGTATTAAGGTAGTTGTATGGATCTTAAGAATTGTAAAACTTTGAATAAATTATTGTATAACCAATATATATACTACGTTCCAAATTTTATTATCTAAACTTTTTCTTTGTAGTCAGCTCTTAACAGGTCAATCACACTAACAACCAAACTTATTTGCAGGAACGGTTTTACAATAGAGTTTAACGGCGCCATGGCAGTGAATGTTGCTCGGAGCTTTTCTTCGCTTTCAACTGCCACAAGAAGAGTTTGGTTTCAGTTGACTTATTGTGTCATAGAAATTATCATCAAATATCCAGATGTTTGTTCCATTTAAGTTGAACGATTTAAGATGAACCAGGCGATAGTTTATAGTAAGCTTTCAAAGAGCCACAAAGCCCTACACCCTTGCATTCGTATTTCATGACTAAAATATGGCATAGGTAGTTTTGTAACCCAAATATGTTCATATAGTTACTTTAGTTTTGTTCCCTACATTTCCACCAAAATTATTCACCAGTAAAGTGCTAGGGATTATGCCATTCATCTCAGGACTGGAGCTTGCCAGAGCTTAATGTTTTTGGAAACCTCAAGGTAGACTTTGTGCAGTTTCTTTAAGTAGAAATAGCCAAGACATTTGATCCTTGTAAATCATCGCTATCAGAAACTGCGTTAAACGTTTTATACTCATCGTATATAGATCGTATGCTTTGTCAGCTCTCATTTTGTAAGCGTGGGATGTGTTATCTTACCTGAAATCACCAGGTGATCTATGAAAGACCCTGGCAAACTGGCGATATTTATTCCGCATTAGGATGGTTATGAATGGTGTGCACAATTTAGTGACCATTCCAACAGGCAACTGGGTAGATTTTTGCACGAGTTGTTCTGGCTTTGAACAGATAATACTGCTTTGAGGGCGCTGTGGTCCTGATGGATGAGCAAGACTAAGCAAAACTGCCGCGCTACCGACGGCGGCTGAATTATGCTCTAACGAGACAACAAAGAAATGCTGGAAGAATGAAATGCTCGATTGTTACTTTTGGCCACTTATACGTGTAATTTCATCAGACAGTACGCTTCCTCCTCCTTACTTTTGTGAATGGTGAGTACGAAATTGTCTTTGGAGATCTGGTGTGTTTCGACTAATGCTGAGGTGCAAGCACCTGGATGGAACTTTTTGAATAGACCAGCTAACTACTGACTACTTTTAAGATTGCGTACTGATTTTCCAGACTTCAGCTACTAGTTGATTTAATCAGCTGTTCGACACATTACGAAACAGGCTGACAGTGGCATTTGGGTTGCTGCAATTTTAGTTTGCAAATGCTATCAGGTTAAATCCAACTGCTTTCAAATCTCCCTCTTGTATAAACTGCCCCCAAGCAACTGAAGAGCAAACTGATCACAAAAATTACACATCCGCAAATGCGGATATCCGCCCCTATGCAGCGAGTGCTATGAAAAAAAAGACAACAAAATGTGCGCTAAACAACTGAACGCCATTTGCTATCCTGTTTCTAATGGATACAGTAAACGATTAACGGCGAATATGTCGGTGAATTTTCTCAAGACTAAACGCTAGGTAACAGTGCGCAAAATGGCATTGTTCCATATTAGATATCAGATATCATACATCAATGTCCCATGGAGTTGTTACAACAATCCAAGCGACAGCTTACGATTTCGTCTCTCAAAAATTGCTCTGATTTAGGTTGCTTCACATAAGATCACGGTTGAGTGATACGCCCAGCTAAATTCCAGCTCCACGATAGCCTGTTACCATAAACGTGGGGGTGGAAAACATTCAAGTCCGACTAACAGCACATTTTCCATAATTGCACTGTTGAGTTGCGTTGTGCAAAGTACGCGACCAAACTATGGGCAGCCAAAGCGAGTCACCTCGTCAGTCTTTTCCTAAGGTCATTGTGCACATCCGTGTAAAATATCCTCACATAACTGCTCTCCTGATTGTGCATCTACCAGCTTCTCGATCATTTCAGCTGCGTTTGTGAATGTGTTAAATGCGAAAACTTGAAGTTAAAATGCCAAAGGACTGTTTCGCTGCCCGTTGTAAGCCATGCAATGTTGGCCCTACCACCAATGACATTGGCGAGTGTAAAAAACACGCCCCAAGCTGTCTGAAATACTTATTTCCGATTCCCTACAAACTAAAAGAAAGCCATCAAGCCATCCCACAATCATCACTTATATCGTTGAATTCTAAGAGGTTTTTATCATCTCGGTGGCAGAACTAAAACGGTAGTCGAAGGTCTTCACTCACTTGTCCTGAGTATTTTCTTGTTCGTTAGGTTCTCTCATTTCAACCAGTAAGTTCTTACGGAAGGTCCAAAACTCGTAATAAGCAACTTTTTGAAGAACATTTATATCGTAACTGAGAATCAGGCAACACTTGGACATTTCTCTGAAGAACAAATCTTTAGCTTATTGGGTTATACGTTTGCATTCACATACCATTTTGAAAAGAAGTTTCTGCACCTCAAGAAAAAAATCCTCGAAACTGATTTTGAAATGCTTGGACATGCTATCGAATATTGGTAAACTAAAACCGAGTAGTACTAAGACGTTAACACGAAGACAGTAACTCGTTATTCGTGTTTGCAGTGGTCACCTAACTGCATTCCGCGCACCTATTGTACCCAAAGTTTGGATACATTAATAATTTTTCCTTCAGCTTTAACCTCAGTGACATACAAAGTAGATCTAAGAATTTGATCGTCTGAGTTAAAAACCTACCGGAATCGCCTAACTAACCGGATGGTCACGTCACAAAACAATTCCGATTTCTAAACACTTCGGAACATTGAATACAAAAGGCTCCAGTAAGCCACAAGCCACGCATTTTCCTTCTTGCAGAAAGTAAGCAGTAAATAACAGCGAATGACATCGTGAGTTACCTGTGCATCAGCATTTTGCACGAGGCCCAAACTTTCTGGAGCACTCTCAAACAAGAAACATGAGAAAAAACATGAGGACAACTAAAATTTTGCTCTCATTTAAAAGAGCATTTTCTATTGTTTTCCGATTAAAGGAAACGCCAGTCATACTATTCCCAATGTTGAATAAGAACGAGGCCGATAAAAAGAGCGTGTTTGTTAAACTCCAAAAAAGTCAAGTAAAAAATGATGGAAAGTTTGGTGGAATTTCAGTCAAACCAACATTGCATCTTGTGGTGGTTCTGAAAAACAGAAAGCAAAACGGTAAATGCTATGTGCTAAGAAACATAAGATTTGCTGTTTAGAACCAAAAACGAGCACACGCTGGTGCCAAAATTCACATTAATTATGGTTAATTTAGGTTAGCTTCATTACCACTAAGAATGTTCAAGGAAACCATCTTCAGCCCGAAAAATAGACCGCCGACAAATGTAGATGTGTATTATGTATGTTTACGGTAAGGTACACTAAAACATATCTGTGTCTGACGAAATATTCTACCACTATTCACATATTGGAACACGGATATTTTACAGGCCAACCAACCTAAACGCTGGTTGGATTTCAAAGTGGTAGAAATACGGCGAAAAGTTTCAATAAACTATGATAGCTTTTAACACAGAGTTCCTTATTAAAAGATGTTAATATATGTTGAAAAGCCTAGAATCTCTGAATTGGTGCTTTGTCGTTGTTAGAAATCAACGGAACTGCACAACTCACGGATATCTCTGAAGATCCCGAAATGAAAAATAGAAGCCCTATGTACAAACTAACATGCAGAACGTAAATTCAAACAAGATATGCTGGTATCCTTAACGCTTGACAAACCGAAGTAGTTCTGTCTAGGAATTATTGCATATACTTCGAAGTCGTAATTGTCATTGCGGAAGGCATCCAACATCGGATCAGGTGCCACCTGTTAGATTGGGGGTTGGTGAGATCAAGTATTAAATGCAGTTTGGACCAAACACTACTAGCCCGGTGTTTTTTAGAACCAACCAAAAGTCGCCAGTCCCCAACAGGAATTGTGTTCTGTAGCTAAAGCTCACCTATGTCAAACTTACGAAATTCAAGAGAGGTTTAGACCTGTGACCTTCTGGTCAGTATTTGAACACTGAACAGTTCGGATACGAGCAGCTAATCAGCAGGGTGATTAGCTCTAACTCAGGGTGGGTATACTATCCTTCAGTCAGGGAAGCCGTACCACATGGTTACGTACTGATTAACTTCCCTAGTGACGAGCTCCCAAGAGGATGTTTCACTCATCCTATGAAGTGGGCCTTCCTCTGAGCTCCAGATTGTGGTGTTGAATGGGATGGTTTATTGATACATAGGAGAGTTTCGAGCCTCATTCTCTTCCATTTGCTAGCTCTTCACACTGTCACCCGTCGTCGTATGGTTTATGTCCAAAATGAGTATTCGAAAGGGCATTCATTTTCGGGGCATTCGCATTACTGACGATTCCCGAAATGGTTGGATCAGTCATAGTAAGCTTTTCTGCGTACTTTACTCACTCACGACAAACAGTTCCAAAGTCTCATATTACTGACTATCCGAAGCTCGTTTGTTCGAATCCCTCGTGAAATACCTATGAGGTGCTCAATCGTGAAGAACCTATCGTATTGTGTTCCCAAATTCTTCATCGCAGTCTGACTTTACTTGCAGCATAATATTTATTACTGAGTGGATTCTGGGTGCTCAGTCATAAATATAAGTAGATGAGAACAAAAAGCTCACCGGACAAAATCGGTGACAGCTCGGTGTCCAAAACGATTTACAGGCACCCATAATTTTTTAGAAGAATAAACTGCTTTATTGAAAGTTTGACTTAAAAATCACAGATTTTGCATCCGACCACATGGTACGGTTTCAGTACCGAGGTACCGTGCGGTTAAATGTGTAGGTTGTGTGTCTTTTGTCATATTTCAAAGAGCTAATCGAAGTTACTATGCCCACTTTCAACGAATCGGGAGCTCTGCAGGCGCAATATACTTTCAGACCGTCAATAGTTATTCTCGTATGCACTTAATTTCAACCACCACATGCCGTCTGCCGATGATGTTTACTCGTAACGGTTTACTTACTATAAACTTTCGAACACACTCTTAGAGAAGCACGACCTGGCACACCACAATGATCCTTTAATTTAATGCCACGAAGATAGCTTAGCATTGTACCAAATCCAAGATATATACGTCAAGGAATGCAAAAACTTGTCTAGACGCTGCAACAAACATTTTGCACCCTCCGATAAAAGTCAATTTAGCAATGCCGAACTTTGCCGGTAATTGGAAACTAATGTAAACTGAGTGATACTAGAACCCAAACCCCAAACCCAATCCAGCGCACAACTTTAGTTTTTTCGTTGGAATGAGAAAATCTTTCCACCATTATTCGTTATCCATAATCAGTCTACGATATTACAGTGCATTGATGGGATAACAACTATTACACTTTCCACAGGATAACGGATGCAGAATGCAGCTTATGCAACCCAGTCGCACGTCTTCAGGTGTTAAAATGAGGCATTTCGACTTTCCAATGACAAGCGTACGCTGAAGAACACCGATCCGTGACATCCCTCTCAAACGTTTCCGCAACTATCCCATGTGCAATGACAGGTGGGTCGATTAGGTTTTATGAAAGATTCGAATGACTCAGATTTTTGCAGCCTATGGTAGAAAGTGAAGGAATGTGCCAGAGCCTTTCGTAGGCAGATGTGCTATCATTGTTGCAACTACTCCTACAAATTCTACACTGGTCAAATGAGACGCAGTGAGGGTTCGCTAAACTACCGAATACATTAACACATCAGGGAGGCGATTAACCAATTACACTCATTCTCAGCGCCGAACAAGGAATGTGTTTAAACCTACGAAATGTTCCGATCATCCTTGAGTGTACTTTAGGAAAACCAGCAGTCGTCAATATTTATCCCTAAAAACGAAATCAGGTGAGGTCTATTGGCTGTGAAGCCATAATGTTCTGCTGTGGCCTTGCAAACGGAAAGATCTAAAACCTATGAAATAAATTAGATTTCAATAGAAGGATGTAGGATGTTTTTTTATGTATGATATATGACTGAGACATGAGCATGTGTTTGATTTGTTCGGAGTAGGCATTTCTCCCGAGTAGGCGATTCTCCCGAAACACGGTGCCGGCCAATGACCACTGTCAATTGGCGTTGTTTCAATCTGTTATGAATCAGCATACTCTCAAACCGTAAAATCATCAACATAAGAGGATCCAATCAGAATAAATGGAGAATTAAATAGCCCAATAGAATACAAACACTCAACATAGCGACAAGGTCTTCTTTTGAGCTTTTTTGAGCTTTTTTCACATTACCAGTCTACCTCTAACGGTGCAATGTAAATTGACAAAGACGGGTGGGTCCCGCTAATGGACGTACTGTTGACAAAACTAAGGCAGCCAACTGAAAACAGCTACTCCAAGAGCCCCGAATAAAGGTGAATTACTTAAAAGTTTTCACCCAATTGTAAGGTCGTTGCAAGGGAGAAATATATCCACGTGACTAGAATGTACCACGTTTAGTTAACTGGGGCGAAATGAGCACTACCTAGACAATCAGGTACACGACGAAACCAATAAAAGTGCTCGTTTAGACAGGAAAGCTGTTTCTCCATGCGAAGTCTACCCAAGTAAAAGACTTGGTTTTTCCAGTAGGGGTCCGTACAAATATGCTTTCTTTAAAGTCTAGCTACTGGTGAGTAGTCAGAATGATCAAATTACTGCCTACAGACGCTCATTGGAGGCACGATCAGCGCAAACGTATAAGGCTATAATGCAGGTGAATATCTACAGATCTAATTGGATCCAAAAAGGTCTAATCGAAAATCCCTTGGTGGAGATACTGTAATGAGTTTCTAAGATGAACTTGTGTGTCTGAAATTAGGGCAGTAATAAACCATACATTCTTAAAACGTGCTGAATAAAGGGAGTGGAAATTAGAAATTAACTCCCAGAAATAGTTGCCACCAACTCCGTCAAACGGTGGTATTGGAAAGATCTGCTCATTTACGGAGAAACGGGGCTTCGTCGAGCCGGTGAAAAGACCGGTAAAAATATCGAGAAATCCGATGTGGCCGAGAACATTGTACTGAAGGAACCGATCTGAGTATTTTTTTCCAACCTACATCTTCGCCATCCTCTGATGGGGATAAGACTGTAAGAATGGAATAGGCAAGATATCATCCCAGCTTGACAGCTTTACACGGAATACGCCGTTAAAAAGTCATTCAGAAATGATTTTACTTTGGTTTCATTTGTGTCAATATTTTTTCTTCTACGAGCACGGTTAAGGCAACAATTTATCCATAAACATCAAAAGCGCATTTCTCTCAACGTATGCGGCTTATTTCCTTGAGCAGCGTGAAGTGCGAATGTGGGAAACTGCGGGTGAATGGTAACATTTCTAATAGCCTCAACATCCATATTCTTGCAAACCACAGTGAAATCATAAAAACAAAACTGAGTGTACGATAGCGCTGAGACTGCATGACGCCACTGAGCCACTGGGACGATTGGTTAGTGGTGAGTTGAATGGAGTCCATTTCCGGGGACCAATCTCAGCCGCCTGTTGCATGCAGGCAAGCAAACTGGCAGTGCAAAATTACGAATAATTTATTCCGTTTTTCCAAGCATGCCACGGTAAGTCAATTTTATTCTGTTAGCTACAACGTGTGTCAGTAACACATTGACATTAAGCTACGGTAAATTTATACAGCAAACCAACGACTAAGTCTTCGCTGAATTGGTGTTAGTATGTCACTCCGAAAGTAACATATGTATCAACTGTAAGTTTACAATGACACCCAGCTCATTATAATAGAAAGAAAGCGGCAAGTGTGTGTTTCCAAGAACGTGCGGTTCAAGTGATTTGTCAAACCTGGGAATAAAACATGAACTCGCAAGGCAGAACTTCAGTTAGAAAACTCGTTCACTCCTAGCAGGAATGTTTGTCCTTGTGAGCTAATCTAATCAGAATCAACTGGTTGCCCGGTTTGCTATAAACTATCTGGAAAAGATAGGAGATACGTTCTAACGTCAGCATTCGACAAGTTTCAAAGGGTTTTTGATGATGGCGCTCGAATTAGCTAAAGGATATACATCTGAGATGAATTCCCTTTTAAAAGAAGCAAGTGTTTTCTCTGCAACTTACTCTGGTCCCTTCAGGGTTGAACGCACGTCTTGAAGCTTCTGTTTAAAAAAAGAGGCAAAAGGAGTAAAAAAATAATTTCGTAGCTAAGTTGCTTTTCTCCATGTTTGGCAGTATATTTGAAAAATTGGTAATGAAACGAACTCGATCCGACAACGAAATAAAGACCAATAGTCTTCTGATACGGCATGAGGTTTGTGCAGTAAGCAGATTCACCAAGACACTACTTCTGAAGTTAAAAACATTTCTGGAGTCATTGGGAAGTTTCAAACTTGTTTCTTGCTCGCACAAATGTAAAAAGTGTTTTGTGATGCGTAGAAAATTATGCAGAAGAGCTGGTGCAATTCAAAGCGTGAGATTAGTTAAGTGAAACACAGTTATCTAGGCGAAATAGAGCTGTTAGACGCCGCCTTACTACACAGGCTAGCATAACGTACTGGAGTAGGCCTCCTGAAAGCGGTTATCAAACCGCACCAAAAAAGAACGCAAATATATAGGAAACTTGTAAGAACGCCAAAGAAAACAGCTAAGCCTGGATTTTCGTTAAGACGTCACACGCTCCCAAACTCAAGTGATGGCAAATGAAAACTTAGTATTTTATCACTGCTAGGAAACTATGAGATGTCGGCACTGTTTGCATAAACTTAGTCTGGTGCTCGAGCAGTAATTAAATTCAGAAATAAAACAAACGTCGTACTGGCTAGTTACTCTAGTTGGCTTTCTGGACCAGGGTGATTTGAAATGGTCCAAAATGAGGATGATTTCCAAGCCAACTCGATGAAGAACAAAATGAAGCCGTTCATCGATGACCATTTAACATGAAAGCGTGCGAATCATTCCGTGTATTTACATGTCTGTCAAGCCGAAAGTCAAAATCAGGCTTATCCTGAAAGTTTCGCATTGTAAAAAGCCCACAAAAATATGATGCAGTGAGTGAACAACATACAACTAAAGCCATGGCCCGGAATAAAAAACACTCCTCAGAAATAGTACTTTTACCCCACGGAAAAAATTAGCTTCGGTTTTTGAAGTTAAAGGTGACCTATCCAAATATAATACACGGCAGTGTCGGCTGACAAATCCTCCATTCCCGTAACTGTAGACGCAGGTGACCGTCGGAATTCGAACAGGACTCTAAGCAGGATAACAAATTTCAAATAGATAAACAGGCTCCGAAAAGGTGCGAACCATGTAGAAAATGGTTTTGAAGTAGTCAAAATCAGGGGTAACGTTGTGGATTTAAGTCTGGTTTGATTAATGTCCCCTTACAGGAAATCCTGGGCTTTTAGCCAGGCTGCGACCCACACAGATTTTAGTTTATATGCATACTGTGTATATATTTTCTATACACATCTAGTGAGAATAGTGTATTACCCCTCCCGACTGAACTCCTCGAAGCTTTGGTCTCAATATGTAACAAAAGTTGGCGTGTCAGTTTTCAGCAGTAAGCAGCAAAAAAGACGTTTTATTCCATATGACTGCGCAAAGAATAAGTGCTTTCTAATCAATGTGTAGGTGATACACCGGTAGTTACCATCCTTCCGTATGTTGGAAAACTCCACACTATTGAATTCATTTCTACATAATCTACTTGTAATCAGCAAAGCAGTTTACAACAAATCCCTAGTGGTTTCACCCAGACGATGCACTGACAACTCTGTTAACCAAGCATTTTAAGATGAAGCGCACAGTGTAAAGATACTTGTTTCTTAAAATACGCGCCGTTTTCACATAAACGAGACTTGATAAGGACTCTATTCAACAGGGTGAATCGTATCTGCGCTGAGGTCTGCATCGGAGAAAAGGACTTCAAATAAATAAAAATACCTGTCCAATATATGTGGTACATAACATGGTACGAAAGTTGCGCCTCAAACTGGCTCCTAAATTAGTTTATCTCATCGAAGACACGCTTCAAAACATGGCATACGTATCTGACCTCATCGCCATCGCTGAAAGAGTTGACTAAGCTTATTCGGTCCAAGGTTTTTATACATAAGCCACCAGTTAATTAGGTCACGATATTGGCAAGCGACGAGAACTAAGCACGCCTAGGTACTGATGAAGCGACCAATAGCCGAGAAACCAAATTTAATTCTACACAATATATTGCATGGACGACCGATTTGTCCTTAAATTGGCTTTTTAACGAGCTTTGTGCTACTTTTCTTCACACAAATCTACTTTCTGCGTCTTCTAATTTAGCGTAAACCCTATGCTTTTTCAGAAAAATATAACATGTATATAGCCTATGTGTAGGGCAAAAATGTTCGCATCACGTAATGTGTCACTTTTGTCGAGAAACGAAATACTCATCATCCAAGAATTTCGGCAAAATTGCCGAACAAACAAGCGAATCGTGATGTGATGTCTGTCGTCGGATTCCTTGCTAAATCAAACTGCCTCGATGGATGCTTCTGGGGAATATTGGTTCACACTGAACACAAGGCTGTTGATAATGAACTTCCACGGGACCCCGGTGGTCGCGCAAGAAGACCAGCAAGTCTATAATAATGGGGCTAGCGATGCTGCGTTCCAATCAAGAAGGGTGGATTACAAAAGCCTTCACCGGAAACCCGAAGTTCTTTTTGATCAACGATTGACCTTGACCATCAGAGAATAGTGGTCAAAATGGCAAAATTTCAAATAGAAATTGCCAAGAACCCAGTGCGGCTCAAAACCCATTAGTTGTGGGTAATAGCATCATGGGTGACCAGTCATGCCATACACCTCTCGCTATTCAACTAGCACAATTACTCGAAAAAAACCGAGTCAGATTAAGAAGTCCCTGAATCTGAACAAATACTCGGTCGTACTCCCGGATGAAAGGCCAGGGCCTGGGTACCGAAACAAAACTCTTTGTTCTCCCATTGACTTGCTGAGTGATATTTGTTTGTCAACGACTTCATGCATGTAAGTCATTCGAACCTCCTTTCGCCACCTCCTCCTTGCCATTGTTCGCTCAACTGCTCTCACCCGCAATCTCTCCCAAAAATGCGAAAGCGGTCATGGGCTGTCGAAGAGTTATCAGCAACCTTGTGAGTGGTTTCCTTTATGAAAAAAATATACTGCGATATCTCGAATATCGTGCCAACTGAATCATGGGGCGACCTGTGCGCAGCACATTCAGTTGTAGAATAGCATAAACGAGAGATTCAAATGAGTCTCTCGTGAAAATCAAATTGATTTGCAAATGAGTGTATTTCTCAAAAATAACTGTGATTGTTAGTCGTGGGAACACACGTCCCCGCAGACCGAACTTCTAAATCTAAATATCAATGTGCAAGCTTCAAAGTGGTCCGCTCACATTGTTCCGCTCAGAAGGACGGATAATGCGACCTTGGAGGGTGAAATGAAGAGCCAAATCGTGTGACTGAGCCTAGAGAGACCATGTTTGGGTGGTGGATTTAAAGTCGACGCCGGACGCATGGATACTTGGGAAAATCATCTGTTGTCGGTCAGTATGAGCTTTCAGTAGTGGAACCCCTATCAAGTGACTTGAAGGCTATCAACCAAAAACCAGTCCTTGATTCAGTTCACTGGCTTGGACTTCAGCTACAGCCATACAGCCACAATTAACATTTGAACTCCCTTCTATATTATGCGATACGAACCCAATTACGCCATCGCAGATTCTCGGCTACCACTTCGTTTCTCCCTCAGTAGTACGCAAGCCACAGTGGGGTAGCTTTTTGAATTCGCGGAACCACAGTAGGTGAATAATGTTCGAACGGCCTGGATATCAGGCCACTGACAGCAAATCTGATGAGGAAAACTGGTAGGAAGATAAGTGAAAAAATTGGGGAAGCCAAGTCCTTAGATTTAATGCCGTCTTTCAGGCCTAACTGACCCTCAGATTTTGTAAAGATTTTGAATACCATTCAATCAAAACACCAGTCTATTTGGAGTTGTCCAAAATTCAAAATTATAAGTGCGAATCATTTAGCTACTCGCTCCACTGCCTACTGAAGTTAGTTGTCGGCGTAAGATGAAAACTATCTGTTCATGCAGCAAAAAGTATCCGACAAGCGTAAGAAATCACGAAGTGAATGTTTAGCTAAATTCTACGAAAATAGCCGGCTTGTGACAGTAGCTGAACACTAGGATTCTTTAGAGGAAATTACAACACAATCCGAGCAATCCTTACTTGCTGTACTCGTAATCCTTCGACAATCCTTCGGACAATAAAAGGCATTTTGTACTATCCGACACTTCTTCAAGCTGCGTAGGACGTGAAAAAAACGGGTAGATAAATAATAAAATAATTAAGATGAATGATGAACATAACAAAAATCAGCAAATAAACGCCGGGTCAAATGGTGTGTATTGCTTTCGTGGAGAAACTATGTGTCCGCATATGAGAATGGTGCAATTTAACTGAGGAACACTGATTCAATTACGGCTGGCGAAGTTCGAATGAAAAACGTGTTCACTATAGAGAAGTTACTCACGTCAGCTCCATCCCGCAGTCAGAACACTTGAAGCAACCGGGATGATAGACCTTTCCAAAAACACAATAGCCTTCCTGCGCCGGGAAATTGCATACTGTACAAGGGGACGTCAGCGTGACATGCTGAAGTAAATTCTGGAAGAAAAGGAGAAGAGGAAGAATAAAGGGAGTGTGTTCATACCACCTGTAATAATACAGCACAGTGTAACAGGTGAATCATGGACAAACATGAAAACTTTGGTTTGTTATATATATCCATCAGTAGTAGTAGCGTAAGCATTCGGAAAATTAAGTGTATCCAAAACATCCTGAGAGAAAAACAGTACCACCCAACACGTAAGCTCTAGTAGCCTCGGGAGATTTATTTAAAATCCAAAACAGCTCATTCAGGGTGAGAAACTGTGGCATTTAAGTGTTCGCAGGAGGGTCAATCCGGACGAATTTACATCTTGATGCTGATAATGATTTCGTTGCATTTGTCCTTAGAGGGCGGTTCTTATTCTGCAATCAGCTGCAAAACTTTACTTCTTCAAGATAGTGACACAGCAAATATAGTTCGACGGCAGTGTTTTCAACAAATCCAGTAAATACCAACCGGTGCGCGGGTTGTGAGGAAAAATTATAAATTCTGGGCTTACGATCACAAAACCTAGCTCCGTCGATGAAAACTGCAGATAAAAACAGCGTGGGTTTTCGTAGCATGGAAATCCAGAATTTAGTGGGTCATATAAGACGAAAACTTCAAGAATGACTCAAACGGCAAGGTGCTTCATCCACCGGGGAGCTTAAAAGAATCAATGAAGAAAACGTAACACTGTGTTGTACGTGGAGTGTAAATCACTAATGACGAAAGCACTTATCATAGTGGACTTCGTTAACCAAACAGCGCCATATTTCGAATCACATTTCATTTTTCTCCTATTAATTTTGCACTCAGTTTACATAAAAACTAGACCATATATGAGTTTTTAATTAATTTAATTTAATCGTTAGTAAAAAACTGTCCAACTGGACTCGACGAGCGAAATGAACACAGATTCCAAGGGGGAGAAGACTAGATGCCAACTTCATGAAGCTGAAACGAAATGATAGTTTTGTTTGTTTGTCCGAAAATGACAAACCTGTTTTAGAGCACAACGTTAACTGAATGCGGTAAACTGTTGATATTAGCGGAGTCTGTTTAGACTGATGACAGTTTTGCTGCATTGTCAATGAAAAACCAGATTTTCTCCGTAAATATTCAACTCGTGAACGTAGGAATTCCCATTCTGATAAGCCATTGAGCGTTTTACTTTTGATTTGCATGCGGAAACATTCTCATTAGAAAACATGGGTCAGGCCGTGTCAGTGAATCTCCACCTGAATTGTAAGCTGAGCGAATGTGTCATTAGAAACTTCTTTTTCACATACTTACAAGAAAACGTTATTGCGCAATTATGAATGATGGAAATCTGATCCAAAGTAAGTTGCACTTGTGTTTACTCAGTGAAACATGATCGATTGAGGAAAACAATTAGGAAAGCATTCTGAATAGCCTGGTCGGCTGACACAAATCGGGATTTTGAATTTAGTGGCATTTGAAAGGTGGTTTTACTGTAAACTGAAAAAATACACAACTCACATGCCGGAAAGAGCTTTGTTGTACGTTGTTAAACTTTCCAACCGAATTGTCTGCGGATTCTTTATTAAACCCAACTGAAAATAGACGATAACACGGGTCAGTGCACATGTAGAATGGATAGTTTTACAGTTCTCCTTACGCTATGATCGAATTATAATTAAAGTAATCTTAAACACTACTGGATTAGTCCTATTATTTTACCATCGTAGTCACTAATTTGACTATATGCCGACCAGTACGAACATTTGGGTGGCCCTGGTAGCATTGACAAACAGTATCCTATGGCGCTGCACAACTCCGAGAGACATAAAACACATGGATTAACAGCATCACCTACGCTGATTTTCACCTGTAGCATTACACTGATCTAAAAACTTCAAAGCCCTCAATCTTGGTGTCATTAAATTAGGCTGCTCCCCCTGCCTGATATCCGTTCAATTATCCTGAGATGAGCAGAAGAGGGCCTGCACTGTCGAACCATGGTTCCTATGCATCGTGTAACGAAACTTCTATAGTCAGAAATTTCTGATGAGCTGCAAGTTTGGCAACTGATTTTCTCAGACTCATTTGCGAATTTAGGAAGGCAGAGTGTGGTGTGTTTGTGACTGAATTTGAGGTGAAACTGGAATGCCTGCAGAAGATCCTTAGGATTGCCATATGTGTGAAGGCCAAACTAACTACCTCTGACAACAAGTAGTACTGGAGATTAGCCTGTGACCTATGATCCAGCGCAACGTATCGTACTGAAGCACGTTATGATTCAGCAGGATCTGACTAAACACAGTCAATTCACCTAGCTCGGTTTCACAGA